TATGTTAGGGGTGGACAACCCTAATCACTTAGGGGTATGAAAAATAGATAGTAACCGATTCTCAGGCTTACTGAATATGCATAAAAAATTTCATGAGAATCGGTCAAGCGGTTTCGGAGGAGTATGGGAACGAACATTGTGACACGAGAATTTTATATATTAGATGTAGATTAATAAATATAAGTTTAGAGAAATTTATGGCAACTGTTTCACTATTGATATATAAACGATGAATGGGCGATGAATGCGATGCGAACGATTAATAAACGATGAACAAGTGACCGTCCTACTAGAATCGTGTTCAATTTCAAAGTCAATTGACCCTGCCCCTATGGCCTTAGCAATATGCGACGCAAGCAATACGATCTCCGATTGATCTATTCATAGAAATGTCAGGACTTTACATAATTCAAACGAATCGCGATATTTTACCTAAAAACTGTGTTAGATGACTACATGTTCAATTGGTATGATAGTTTCATAGAAGGATGTCTAGTAAAGTAGTTCAATTGCAGGAAAAAATGCACGGACAGAAAATAAATATATCGTCATTACAGATTTTGAAGAATGCTAAATCTATACTAATATATAAATCTACAGTGGTTTTTACGGATGTTCCGCTATAACTACTGAACCGTGCATCCGATTGACTTGAAACTTGGTTTCCATGTAGAAAATACATGTAGTTAATGGATAGGCTAATATTTATATGAGTGTTGGACTCCCTAATAATAATGAAAATAAATAATAATATTAATTTTAAATGCCCAGCGAAACGGGCGACTACGGCTAGTCTCTAATAATTTAAGTGCTGTGGTCAAATTACCTACACTTTTTTTATCTTTATGTTTGAAGGATTACTGGTGGGCCGGAGATCTTTCCAGTCTCACCATGTGCGCACCTGTAATCTCTATATACATATAAAAATGAATTGCTGTTCTTTAGTCTCGCTAAAACTCGAGAGCGGCTGAACCGATTTGGCTAATTTTGGTCTTGAATTATTTGTGGAAGGTTTAAAAGGTAGATAAATATGAAAATGCTGGGAATTAAATAAAATAAAAGTGTGTGTGTCCGCTCCGACGCACGACTGGAGTTTACTGGATATAAAAAATTAAACGAAACAATACGAGAAATAGTTCTATATTACGACAACACGATACACTACAGATTATTAACAAATTAACGAGACACAAAACAAACGACTAACAAATATATGAAAATACAATAATGAGAGAAACGCGCGATCAGTACGAGGCTTTGTGGCGGACTGCCGGCGCAGCAGCCCGGCGTCACCTGCGATAACGCGGCCGCGCGTTGGCTCCTGATTGGCGCGCGCACGCATCACGCAATCAGGAGCCAATCAGGCGCATAACGCATTTCGTGTGACATGCTAGTACGATTTTGGTCCCCATATTTTTCATACCCCGGGCCTATATATGTAAATCGATTCTAAAGGAGTAAACTCCAAAAATAACAATCTTGTTTTTCCTTTGATGTGTCCCCCGTCGGACGGATTCCTTTTGTTTGTTTTAAGTTTATTTTATACAAAAGTTTAGGTATTTTATTTAGGTATCGATTGAGGCACTATGAAGTCTGCCGGGTCAGCTAGTTAAGAATAAAAAGAACGTCGATACACTCGAACGATATTACTAGGTACGAATTTTGCTACTATATTTGAGGATGCAGTTTCTAATGCGTCATCTTTCTGGTTAACCTATGCAGGCAGATCGAGTTAGAGGAACTCTGCTGCGCTCGCACTATTGCACCTGTTTTGTGATATTGCTTACAGAAACGGTGTGTATCTCAACTTCTGTTTATTTTTCCCCTACTTATTCGCTGGCCTGGCAGGCTATTCCAGCTACACTTGGACGGGTAGGTGAGCTCACTGGCTCAACCTGAGAGAATTTACTAAAACTAGCTCAAGCGAGAGCAGTGCTTCGCAGAATCTACCACCGAATAATTGACTAAAGCTGTACCTTGTTTTTTCATTTTTCTTAGCCTAAGAGACTATTCCAAATACTTATGAACCAGTAGGTCGGGCTCAACTCGAGAGAATAGCTAATATTGACCTTACCAAGCACAGTGCTTCGCTGTATCTCCGACCAGACCGGATTAGTGACCCACCGAGAAGATCCGTTGAGAAATTCAGTAGGTTGTTTCTCTGAGATGGTTCTCACGTCAAACTCTTTGTCGCAATCAAGGAGTTCGACGAGGGTAAGGTGACCTATACTTAAAGAGCCTGAAAGCATTGAGAGCAGGTCTAGATGATCCGACAATACATGTTTTATACGACGGCGACTTTGCGTTGCCTTGGTCGGGTAATTAGCCACGATAACAGGGTTGTCCGTATCGATTCCTGTCACGCAAACAAAAAACATTGCCGAACCTGATAAAAGTAGACAGTCGCTCGTCGTTAACATCTAATAATCCGGTTATAAGAATGAAGATCACGGAAACAATAGAGCGAGCACAGCTTTAACGTTACCAGTTTAATGAGCTTTCTGTATTGCGTACAAATTCGTCAATGTGGTGGCTCCCGAGAATTTATTGGTCTTGTAACAAAGACGTTCTATATGTTTTAGCGTACATTAGCACCGGAAATGAACCGGTCAACGTCAGTTGGCTATCATTTTGTGCACTTTTATTTACAGGTTACAGCGTAATCGGAGAGGCAGCAGAATTCGCGACAATATGTAGTTTATTGGGCTTCCGAAGTCGTCTTCCACCAACTGCAGCTTCTCTATTGGTTTTTCATCATCATTCTTCTGTAATAATAAGCCGTCCTTGAGCCGTCAATGATCAGCCAAAAAAAAATTCAGGTCCACCAACCAAGTAATTATAAGTAATTAAATCGTCGATGCCACTAGTCCCATGGAGATATGAGATCGATCTCTTATTTATATATTATATAGTACATACTAGCGACCCGCCCTCGCTTCGCTTCGGAAACATTAAAACACACATGAAACCAAAAAAATAAAATAAAAAAAAGTAGCCTATGTTCATCAGGGACAATGTCGGCTTCTAATGGAAAAATAATTTTTCAAATCGGTCCAGTAGTTTCGGAGCTTATTCGAAACAAACAAACAAACAAATCTTTCCTCTTTATAATATTAGTATAGATATACAATAAGATCGGTGCCTTCTATGCCGAACCCGAAACCGATCCGTATCGGAAGTAGAATGTTGGTATTTATGTACCTATACTTGCCCAGCACTAATCTGTCCATTTAAGGTAACCTAAACAATAAAATTTTCTGCTCTTAACATTTTTGCAGCAAATTGTCGTAAATATAATTTAGTTCCATAGACCCAGCCTCGCCGGATCTTCTCAGTGGGTCGCGTTTCCGATCCGGTGGTAGATATTGCGAAGCACTGCTCTGGCTAGGGTTAATGTTAGCAACGTCATCAGGTTTGAGCCCCGTGAGCTCACCTACTAATTCGGCGAATATTGTATAACCCTTCGAGGTTTCTAGAATAGGGAGAAAAAAAAACACTGCTCTTGCTAGGGCTTGTGTCCTTCAATTTTCTCGGGTTGAGCCCATGGCTCATCTACTCTTCCGCGCGACGCTGGAATAGCCCCAAAAGCAACAAGAAAAGAAAAAAGTAATTTAACAACATTTCATTTCGTATAACGAACCTATATCCTTGTGAGACATTTTAACCCTTTAACTAATAGTGTATTGCGTGCACCCAAAGCACGTTACCGTCGCCCATGGACTTCAGCAATGCCAGGGGCAGAGCCAAGCCGCTGCCTACCGCTAAAATTAATTAAAGCGCCAAAGTTAAAGATAATACCAAAAAATAGGAGGCTGCATCATCATCATCATCCAATTTAAGACAAAGAAGGTTGATGCACTTATTTTTTTCTAAAATAAAATCGTCGAAAATTGGAAAACGATTTCATTCTTTAAAAATAGTTTTTCATATCCCGTTATAAAAACAACCTTGACTAATATAATATGAATGGAAAAAACATTATTAATAGAATAGTAAACATTAGCCAAACGATACATTAGTCTATGTAAAATCGTTTGTTTACCTCGACCCACTTAGAAATTACCGTGAGTAGTTGACAGTCGAAACGTAGTTTTGCACAATTATGTAGGTAATTTTATTAATATTTTTACGTTATTTTAGTTAAGTTATCTGGGGTTAATATCAAAATATTAATAGATAAGTGCTTTATACGCACATCTAAAAAACCATTAATATTCGAGAGACCAATTTAAAAGATGACTTTTCTTTACAAAATTACGGTATAGATGTCGCTTTTAGCTCATAAAATCGTGACACTGATTGCTAACTTTGTAACTAGATGGCGTTAGCTTACCAAAGCTTCTGTTCTAGCCAAGCAATTTGAAATGTTTATCCATCTCTTTCTTCAAGACGCAATAGACAGAGATAGAAAATTCGACAACAGAGTATATGAATGCTTCCCTTTGTGTTGCAAAGTTAAAAAATCAAAAATAATCCACATTTAACAAAATTGAAATACTTGAAAGAAAAATAAATGATAAAACAAAAATATAACTATAGAGGTTTTAGATGTAAATTGCGATTTCGCAATAATTAGTTTTGCGTAAACATAAGAACACATTTTATTCCTGATTTTTTTTTTTTTTTCTCTTTTTATTTAAAACCCGCTACTATATTTTTTAATAAAAATGAGCCGTGCACAATACTTTTTACTATTTTTTCACAAGATTTCCGATTTCAAAGTATATACAGTGAGCAAAGAAGACGAAAGTATCGGTAAAGCTAGCTAACTTAAGTAGTAAAAAAAACCCAAGTGTATATTATCAAAGTGGAACTTTTCTTAAATGTGTTTTTAATTAATGAAATGACCATTGTGGAAAGCTTTTTTTTTCATTTCTTAACTTCCAAATTCCACACAGTTTTGGCTTCTTTCACAATATAACGCTTGGCCACATTTTTTGTTGAGCTGGTAGCACCGGTTCGTTCGCATTTCACAACGCGTTTAGTTGTCAGTTGTGAGCGGTCGCTTGCTAGGTGTTGTCTGCAGTACTTTGCTGACCATCGCGATTGTAGCTTATCGCGTGTCATTAATAACCACCACCGAATAAGATTTACTAAAACTCATAAATAAATTTTGCAAAATGCCACGAAGCCAAGTTACCTGACATATAGTTTATATAAAAAAGACGCCGGTATGGGCCGGTTCAGTCCAACCGAGAGATAAATCTCGGAGTTTTTAGTTTTTATTAAAATATTCCGTGTATCTGCGCAAATGCAAGGATCACGTAGATTAGGAACATGCGGGTTCTGTTCGATGTTATCCGGTCTCCTCCGGCGCGCGGTATGCATAGGATCGCGTCGAGGCAGCAGCGAGTCCTTCTACCGCGAGCTGGGCAACCAAGACACAGTGGTAAACATGCTTATTATCTTACAAAATCCGTTATTTGTAGTTTAATTTAGATTTGCATGTTCGTTTCATTCATGATATACAATATTTTGATAGTTAATGTACGGCCTCGGCACTATCTGTAGCTTGTTTACATTTTTTTTGCGAATGTCAATGTGTGCCGTTTCTATGATAGCATCGAAAACACACGCCAACGCTAAGTATTTAGTATAAGTAGTGAAAGTTAGAATTTCGCCGTCGTGCACATTATAGTTTTCTATAATTTTTACATTCATGTTTATTATCATTAGATTTTTTTTACAATGCAAATTTATGTTTTGTATGCCTACTGATTATTTTAATTTATGTGTGTGTACACGTAGATGTGAACCATTTTCCTCATAAGACTATTTTTACATTTTTCCCTGTGCAAATAACAAAATAACATGATGGCAAAAAAGTTAATTCCTTGAGTATTTTTATTAATTTTACAATTAGATTATGCAAAGATATGATATTTCAAATTGTAAATAAATAAAAACCAGGAAATTTACTGACGGAAATCTACATTACCAGTACAAAACAATTTGCTTTACATTACCAAAATATCAGAATATAAGCAAAGAAATTGCAGAATACAAGAAATTGAATTTATAACGAAGAATGAATTTATAAAGAATTAAATAAAAAATACCCTATGTGCATTTTTATAATCTATTTACAATACAAAAATTAAACATTTGTATCAAACTAAGAAGCTCTTGTTTGAAAATATAATTATTTAAAACGGTAAATATCAGTAAGACATCCATACAATGAGATAGATCCACTTAAGAAATTTAAACAAATCATAAAAAGTTTATAAAAGTAAATAAAATGTAAAAATTTATTTTAACAAATTACAAAGAGAACATTAACCGAATAATATATACTGAAAACACAATGTTTATTCTGATCAAATATAGATTTTTATGAAAATGAAAAATACCGAAGGTGAATTTTGTTACCAATCAACATATATTTTTCATTTATTTGTTTATTGCAGATTTATTATTACTATAATTTGTTTAATACAATATATTATTTCAAAATAATAATAAAAAAAACTAAGAAGTAGTAATGTATTTTAACGTTACTAATGTAATTTAAAAATTCAACTAAATTTTTTACTAGTTCTACCGTTGTTGCATTTCATTATATACAAAAAAATCACTGTGATTACAAGTAAAAATTTCAACTTTAAAAATGCAATTAAATATAAGTTCATATAGAAAAAATAGCATAAAATACCAGTTTAAACTCAAACTCGCTGTTTTATTCTAGATATTACTAATGTTGTTTTTCAAGAACATAATATGTATTAAATCTACCTTGGCGTCTAAAATAAACCAAATATAACAATCATATGTACACTAAAACGTGCACGAAGAAATTGTCTACACGACAAAACAGATAATATGAAAATCTCATATATTTTTTTTTTAAACAAATAATTTTCGAAATCACCTAAAAATCGAAGAATTTGAAAAAGACTTACCCTAACACTTTTTTGTTAAGACTTACACTTCAAACCAATATATTAATAATCATTATCATAATGCATGTTCCAAAAATATATAGCTGAAGTTCCTCCTGGAAATCCTGTAGTTCTCGTGGTCTAAAGGATAAGGAGCCTCGTGTACTCGTGTCGTGTGATGGCCTGGGTTCGAATCCCGCTGATAGGTACCAATATAATGCTGTATCTAAGTTATATTCACGAACGAATAAGATCGTGTAACAAGAAAACCGTGTTAGGCGTGTTAACGGGTAGGTCACATCGCTCTGCCTATGTCGGCTACGATACAGTAATAATCACCGGCTTGAAAAGTAGGTCACGCAGTAATATTGAGACATCGACCTCATGTCTCAGGTGAGTTGCGGTTTAGATGTCTATAGGCTCCTGTACCGTACCAACAACCAAGATAGCCGTGAGTTTCATTCATCCTACTAGTACAATAAAAGTGCGTAATACGTGTCCAAAGATCCATATATATTGAAAATTCTTATAATGCTGATAATCGTAAATTTTGAGACCCACAAAAAATGAAAATTTAAAGTTACGGTACTTTTCCCTTCGACGGCAGCACACGACAATAATTATTATATCAACGTATGATATAATATGTATTGTGAATTCATAACAATGTAATTAGAGGTCGATAAATAATCATATCGTATTTTGCTCACGTTACGTTACTCTCTACAAAGTATAAATGTTAAACATGTTATTTGATATGTTGACCTTGTTATCAATGCAGTTATTTCACTTCATTTACGATATCTAAATCGATTTCTTGACGGTGCCGAGCAAACTCGCAATAAAACTAACTTATCGTTTGCGAAGTCGTAAGCATCCGTGAGCATATTTCACTTGATCGCGAAAAATCAATCGAAATTTCCTGAGTTTTCAATTTATAAATTACTACTATCGATTCTCTCGAGTTTTTTTAAACTAGCGATCTTTGCCATTGTATTAGATATATATTTATTTGTATTCTCAAAATAATCAGCAGTAAAAAAGGATAAAGTAAATCGAATAGGATTTATATGAAACTGTCTGAGTATTCGTTAGTGAAATATTGGTGTTTAACCTTTTTTTTTTATTGCTTAGATGTGTGGACGAGCTCACAGCCCACCTGGTGTTAAGTGGTTACTGGAGCCCATAGACATATACAACGTAAATGCGCCACACACCTTGAGATATAAGTTCTAAGATCTCAGTATAGTTACAACGACTGCCCCACCCTTCAAACCGAAACGCATTACTGCTTCACGGCAGAAATAGACGGGGCGGTGGTACCTACCCGTGCGGACTCCGAAGAGGTCCTAACCACCAGTCTCCTAACCTAACTTATAATAATTACAAATATGAAGTACCTAAATACAAAATATTAAATTGCTATGTAAAATAATGTAGGGGCTGTTTATTCATCATTAACGTTATTTGTACAAATTCATACAATCAGCTCTCGACTAAACAGCTAAATCCAAAAGTAAATAAAATTGAAACATCCTAAAACGCATTCACTTATTTTCCGATTATAAAATATGATCAAACATATTCAAATAACGCAAAATGTAGATTGTTCTCTTGAAGAATAAAATAAAAAAAATGTCGAAACTACTTCTCCTCATTCTCTTCTTCTTATAAAATTACGAAGACTAAAAGTATTCGGTATTCGGTTTGCAAATAAAAATAGGTCAGCTTGAAAGTTTAACCGCTGTTCTAAATTATCATTACATTGTAAGCACAATGCGAAAATAATCATCATTCAATGTAGGGAGACCTAAATTTTCACCAAACGAACATAGAGTGTAACCTGAGTTAATTAGTTAATATTTTATACACCTCATCGTAACTCATAACTCAAATGAAGTGTTTACTTCATGTATGAGTGTGCTATGAGTTTTCATAGCACAGGAAGCTTCAAAAATGGTGTTTTGTCACATAGCTCGCTAGAACTGCCCGTAGCTTGAGTAGCTTAGCTTGCGTATTTATAACAGCTTGAATGTCGTTGCCGTGGTACACAAAGCACAATCGTTATAACGCACACGCGGGTGCTTTATTGTCACTTATAGTATTTTTTCCAGGAGAAGCGTTTGAAAATTCAACATCTTATTTATTATACATAATATTATACATAATAACATATTATTAAAGTTATATAGTTCTTCACGACTACGGAAATAAAATGATAATATTTAAACTAAAACTTTGAACTTCATCAGTAAAAGTAAAAATCTCACTAATGACTAATAAAAAATTGATTTTCTCGTACTCAGTAGTTCGGTTTTAACAAAAATTGCTTTTGACATTATAGCGCCCTATGTGCGATATATAGGCAGGGGTGTGGCCAACATCCGTGGAGTGAGCATGAGCAACCTTGTTAATCAATGGACCAATTGATATTTAATTATTATTTTTGGCGGGCCGCACAAATATTAACTCCTCTTAATAATTTACAAAACTTTATTTATAATAAATATTAGAATAAAAAATATAATACTAAAACAAAGTAAGGATTTCATATCCAAATTTAATGCAAGATAAAAACAAACAAGAATAAAACAGAAACGAGAAAGTTGATAAAATAAATTCAAATTTAGAATTGCTTGGTGGGCCGCGTTTTGCTCATCCTTGGTGTAGGCGAATACGCCCCAGGCTGGTTCTGGTCCAGCGGGGTATCTCGGAACACCAGCGGCATCACCCGGGCGGCCTGGTAGGGCCGCCGTACCGCGGAGACCGGCGTCGTTGGTCGTCGACTATCACCTCGACGACCCGTCGGTCGGGCGTCCTCGTGGTGGCGCCTCGTACACTACAACCAGATTAGTGTTGACCGCGGGAACCCTCCTACTCTGATCGGGTTCTGACCCCGGACGGTGATCGGACATCGAGTGCAAGGGAGTCGCTTAGTGCCGTAGGGCCCTTAAATTCCTTGGGCCCGCGGTTTCGCAGTCGCTTACCAGTCCCACATAACCCGCGCGCCCCCTAGGCGCGGGGACCTCGTAGGAGGGTCGGTCCCCGGCCCGAAAAAAGGCTATTACGCCCCGTGACGATATCTGGCTCCTCGGAAACTGTGATCGTGCTTGTATTCCGAGTGCAAGAGAATATATTGCTTCAGGAATAAAGCTTCGGTGTCGCGCCAAGATAATTTTCTTGGTAATTTAACCTCATCACATTCCAATAGAACGTGATCTGTTGTGTCGTCTGCTTAAATGTAAACTACAATTACATAATAATATTATTGTATGTAACGTCTACAACATATTTGGACCATGGACTTTTAATAATAATAATACAATAATTTATTGCCTTTCACACAGATTTAGATTAATACATTTAGGCACATAAAAGAAAAATAAAGAGGCAAAATGAGGGGGCTCAGTTAAGTCTGTTCAAAGTAGATGAATCGAACAGCACTGATTTTCAGTTACCCCCGCTCCCTTTTGGCTTATTGCGGGAATCAAGGATAGCTACGTGTGTA